AATTTTATAAAAAATTTGTGAAATAATCCCAGTAATATAAAATATTTTAAGCCTAAGTACTGTGAGCATTGTAAATCTGAAACCTACAAGTACTCAAATTTATAAAAAAAAACACATGTTATAAATGAAGGCTCGACCAGCCATATAACAAATATTTTGAAACCGCGATTCAGCACGTCGGGTTTATAACATAAACTCAATTCTGTGATTCTGAACTCCCGAATAAAAGAGTTTCCTTTCCTAAAAAGGATCAAAAAAATCATTAAAAAAAAATTCAAAAAAAAATACAATATATATATTAAAAAACTGTGTATCCAAAACTTTGAAAGTTTTAATAAATAAAATTTAAAAAAATATATGCCCAAAACCTTGACAAATGACAGACGCCGCAAACCACAAAAACGGAATAAAATTTTAAAAATCTTAAAAGATGAAAACGTAGAAGAAAATATTTTGTTTTAAATGGGAAATAATTCAAGTACACTAAAATACGAAAGGCTGTACTATTGTAATCATTGCAAGGGTGACCATAGAACTGAAACTTGCCCATATTTAAAACATACAAAAACTGAAATAATAAAAAAGGGCTCTAAATGGTGAAAATGAGAATCTTGTTGCTAGACTTATAACTGCAACAAATGCTTCTCTTAGATTGGAGGTAGAGGAGTTGCGAAGGCAACTACAGGATTTAACACAGTCAACTACAGTCGTTGATTATAAAATAGAAGTGATCGATCCACATATCAATTGCGATGAGTCACTTGAGGTGGTCAAGTCACTACCAGAATTTAATTGAAAACAAACTAAATACGTTAGCTGGAGGGAATCAGCCAATAACGCAATGAGGTTATATGTAAGGGACAGCTGTAGATATTATACTAAGAAATAAAATTACAAACGATGCTAACGATATTTTATCCAATCACTGAACTGTCCTTAATTTCGATGCCATTTTGGCACAACTCGATTTTGCTTAAGCGGACAAGCGACCAGCTCATAATATCGACCAGGAGATGAGCATTTTGCGAAAGGGCTCTTATTCAATTATGAATACTACAATATAATAAGGTTAATGAAAAATTAACTTTACTAATTAATAAAACGATAATGACGTACAGATCGGATAGTGCCGTAACTAAAGAATTAAACGCAAAAAATAGGCGGGATGCGTTGCGTATATTTATAACAGGTCTAAAGAACTAGAATCAAATGATATGCGAGCACTTTTCGCATCACAATTCGGGAAAAATCCGAATTATTACAGACAACATACTAATATCAATAACGGAAATTTCAATAATAATTTACGGTTTCCACAAACCCAATTTCAAAGAGGCTACAACCAAAGGCCCTTACAACAAAACATTCAGGCAAGACATATCCCAATGGATGTCGATCCAAGTATTCGAATCCAAAATCGACCACATTATAATGTAAATAATAATGTACAGAATAAAAGAATAAATAATACAGATAAACGACCATGTGCCAGCGCACAACTAAGTAATCAACCACCAAATATAACACAAAGGATAAATAATATTAAAGAAGATCATTTTTTAGATCAAAACTAACTCTGCCATATATTTTCTTACATGACAGGGTTAATCGCCAAAACTTTAAAATACTAGTAGATACGGGAGCAACATGTTGCTATATAAAATCAGAAATTTATGAGAATAAAAACGAATTAAATATATATAAAAGAGTAAAAGCAATTAATGGATTTTCGATAATACGTTATTATCATTTTATTACTCTAATTGGTTAAAAGACAAATTCGTTACGAAATCGAGAAATTTAGAAGTAGACTTTTTAAGTAGACAGTGATCGACTTGAAAGCAAAATAGTTGATAATAAATAATGAAAAGGAAGAAGACATATTTAGCTTAGGAAATGAATCTGAGCAATATGAGAGTAAAGGAAATTTAAAAGATGAAAACATTATAGGGAATATAATTACTTTGGGAGTAGAGACTCCTAAAGCGCCAGCTGAAGATTTATACCAGCACAATGAATATATTAAAAATAAAAAAATATATTGTGGAACAAGAAAGTTCTACAACGCCAGCCGATGGTAATACCGGCAACCAAAATAAAAAATAAAATTATAAGAATATAATGTGGAACAAAAAAATTCTACAACGCCAGTCGATGTACTTACCGACAATTAAGAAAATTATCTAAACAAAATTATTTTGGAGGAAAAATTCTCTAAAGCACCAGCCGAAGAAAATACCGGCATAAATAAAGAAAAAATTAAATATTTGAGGAAAAAAATTATGGGGTATATAGTCCGCATAAAGTTGAAGCCGTTTGTAATGTTCCATTACCAAAAACTGTACGACAACTTCGAAGTTTCATTGGAATGATTGGATATTATAGGAAATTTATCAAGGATTTCGCAGCAATAAACCATTAAACAAACATTTATCAGAATAAAATGGACATGTATCTCAGCATATGTCAAAGAAAATTGAAGTTCGATAAGAGCAGAACCAATTTTAGCATTTGAAAAATTAAAACAATAAAACCAAGATGAATTAACTCACCAGACTTTAATAAAAAATTTATATTAGCAACCGATGCCTCAAATGATGCATTAGGTGCTGTATTAAGCCAAGATGGAAAACCTATTACATTTATCTCTAAAGCATTGAATTCCACAGAAAAGAATTATGCAATGAATGAGAAAGAACTTTATGCCATAGTTTGGGCATTAAAAACTTTAAGAAACTACCTTTATGGAGTGTCAGATTTAGAAATATATACAGATCACCAACCTTTGACTTTCGCAGTCTCTTCGAGAAATTCTAATGTAAAAATGAAAAGATGGCATACCATTATTGAGGAATATGCTCTAAAAATGATTTATAATCCGGGAAAAATTAATATAGTCGCGGATGCATTATCCCGACAAAACTTAAATAATATAACTGATGATTCATCAGAAATGAAATGAGAAACACACAGCATTCAGCAAAGAGCTCTGAAAATACACAAATTCAAGAAACTAAAAAACCATGGAATCAATTCAAAATACAAATACTTCTTAGTAAAGGTCGCTTTACCATTCACGAATATATTAATAATTTTAATAAAACTAGGCATATTGAATATATTATAATACACTTGAAAATTTAAAGACTATTCTAAAAGAATTCTTACAACCAAATCTTGTAACAGCAATATGTTGTACACCTGAAGAATTATATGAAACAATGGTTAAATTAAAAGAAACATTTACTAACAAGTTTTTATTTACAAAAAATTTTTCCATGGATATACCAAACAAGGAAGACCAGGGAACAATAATAGAGCAAACTCATAACAGAGCACACAGGGGCTTTGACGAAAATATTAAACAAATCTCAAATTTTTACTATTGGGCAGAAATGCATAAACAATTTAAAGAATACATTAGAAATTGTGAAATTTGTAATAAAAATAAATATGATAGACATCCCATAAAAATACCTATTGGAGAGGTCCCTATACCCAAAGATGAGGGAATACAAAAACACATAGATATATTTTATGCACAATCATTAAAATTCATTACATGTATCGATAGTTATTCAAAGTTTTTGGTTATTAAACAAATTGAAGACAAGATTAATTTAGAAGATAAAGTGTTAGAGATATTACAAGGGTTCCCAAATGTAAAAAGAATAACAATTGATAATGATTTACTACCGTACAATTTAAATCCCTGATGCAGAGACTTCAGATTGAAATTTATTTCTGCAACCCAAATCATAGCACCACAAATGGTCAGATAGAGAGGGTACATTCAAAAATAATTGAAATATCACGACGTATAAAACAAGAATATAATTTAATCAGCTTTTCGGAATCAATATATAGAGCCGCTCACCAATACAATAAAACTATACATTCGGTAACTGATAAGAAACCATTCGAAGTTCTTTATAATAAGGTCTCTTATAATAATTTACCAGACAAATTTTTATTAGCACAAGCTAGGATGCCAGAAAGACAAAATAAAAAAAGATTTAACAAAACATATTTATGTGGACATGTATATATGAAAAAATAATAGGGGAGAGAAATAAGCTAAAGCCTATATACAAGTAATAAAATAAGATTTAGGGAATAAGCTTACAATTAACTACAGAAGTAGAATAGTACATAAAGATAATATTAAATCTTGATTATATATAATTCAAAATGAACACGGACGATTGACTATAACTGATTTAATGGACATTTCTAACTTTAAGATATTACAAAATAAAGATGTAATTGTTATATATATTAAGTATCCAAAAATTATAAATGATTGCAAATACTTTGAAGTAAGAGCAATCACACAAGAAGACGGTAAATTAATAATTGGCAAAGAAATTGCAAAATGCAAGAAAGAATATATTAATATAAAAAATTGTAAAAACGAAATGATAAACACCTATTGTAATATTGATAATACAAATACTTGCCTAGCAGATATTTCGTCCAAAAAAAAGGTAAATGTAAAAAAATCAAAGAAAAAAATAAAGAAATAGATGTAATTAAAGAAGGAGCAATATTAGAATCCGGAAATAACACAATTGATGGCTATGCCATAAATGGAGTTTACCTTGTTACTTTTGAGAATTATACAAATATTAACAATGTTATATATGAAAATGTCGATTGCAAAATTTGGAAATATATATATTTACATATATATATAGAATATATTGAAACAAAAAATAAAGAAATGAAACTTGAAAACATAAATGTTTTAGCTAAACGAATGAAAGTTTTTATGCATCATTCATTTTTATGGTACATACTTGTAATTTTGTAAATAATGTACATTATTCATAGGATTGTAAAATCTAAAAAATCTTATAAAACTTCTAAAATAAATAGAAATTTAGAATGACATTAATGCTATACAGACACCACCAAGTATGGTAAAATCTTTCAATGTGTACATTTTTAAATCGGCGAAAGGTAGTGGCATAGATAACAAATTTATAAAAAATTATTACACGTTTCTCCGATGTTTGTCTTCTTAGTATAGAACGCATCTGTTTGAATTTTCATATCCTTAAAAAGCAGCAAATCCTTTTGTGTGCCGAAATTAACATCCCTCAAAAGCTTTGTTGGTACTAGATATGTTTGCAATCCGATAGAAGACTTTCCTGCACGTAAACGCCTGCAATGATATGTATGCATGATATATTTAAAAGAAAGGTCAAAAATCTTTGTGTTCAAATCAATAACCAAAAAGCTTTGATTTACATAATACTCCAAAGTTATCTCTGAAGTTCAGTGCGGTTTTTGGATCCGTAATTGGTGTTATCAAAAACTTCTTTCATGAAAATAAATGTATAGGAATGGTGTTAAAACTACTTTGTTTATTATTATTTTTTTTTTTAATAAAAGGTTGAGATATCGGTAAGATAACAACAAAATCGACGATTTGGTGAGAATAGCGATCTTTGTTTGAAGGCAAGTGAAAAGGCGGATTTACGATTTAAATGCATATAGTAGTAGAAACTGTTTAGCGAAAGAAATTGCAATTACAAAGAATTGTTGAAAAAATGTATGTAACAGAATTATTTAGAAATTTCTCATCCCGTGTTCCGGAAATTTCAACCACTTGACCTACATACTTCCTATAATTCACAATTTAAAATTCCTCCATTTTATAGTCCACCAATGAAGATATCAAAAAAACGCTTTGGGCAGGGACTATTTAAAAATGTCAAAAATTAAAAAATAACGTTATAATATTGAATACATTAATTTGATACCACAAATACGAAATTGGACCCCGAATCACCCCAGCTTCTATATATTAATTTATACTAGCAAACTTTTTTACCAATATATCGGTGAGTAAACTTTAAAGAGTTGAGCGGAAACATATTCTCAGTAATGCTAAAATTGTATGCAATACGTCATAATTGACATAAATGGTCAATATGTGTGATATTTTAATGAAATTAAGTGGACATGTTTTCCTAAATATAATGTGATTATGCATCCCTAATATAATGATTTCCGATTCTCTGGTTAACCATTTTCTCATATACGTCATAGACCCAGTTTCTTTACTACATTTTGCTTTGTGCCTAAAATATTTATTTTAAAATCGTCCTAATTACTAAACTCATGCAAAGGGGCTAAATTTAATATATTGCGTATATGAGGAAAAAGACAAGCAATCGAGCACCTCACTGAAACCATGACTTTGGCGGCGAAAGTGGCAATACCGGTGAAGCTTGGTTTAAGGAAAATGCTTATCAATCCTGTGCAGATATTCAGGCTCTTGTAAAAGAAAAAAGAATTCTTAGAAAGCAGTGGCAAAACAGTCGCTCTCTTCTCCTGAAGGCGCAGTTGAATAGATGTATTACGTTACTGCGCAATATGTTGCAGTTGAAAAGAAAATACGGACTCGCAAACTACCTTCAACTCGCAAAAACCGCACTTGGGCCAAAACCCCCAGCAAAAGAGTTAACGCTTTTGCAAACAGTCTGGAGAATGTTTTCACACCACACGACACAAATGCTTATATCAGCCCACCAAACATAAGTAATATTGTTAACGCACCTATCAAATTTCGGTTTTTTCACGGCCGCTTTGAAAAGCCTTGATGTGAAAAAGTCGGCGGGGCAGATGGCATTACAGGATTAATAATTATCAATTTACCAACTTATACTATACGAATTTTACTATTAATTTTTAACGCAATGTTAAGAATTGGTTACTTCCCACCATCTTGGAAGATTTCTACAATTGTTATGATTCCCAAGCCGAGAAAAGACGCTAGTCAAATTACATCATATAATAAAATATAAAATTCGTATCCAAAGTTTAGCTCTGAACATCAGTTTAGATTTCGAGCTAATGACGGTACTATTGAACAGGTACACAGAATCGTCACTATTATTAGATCGGCTTTTGAAAAGAAGCAGTATTGTTCAGCTTTCTTTGTTGACATATCCCAGGCATTCGATAAGGTTTGGCACGACGGGCTGATCAACAAAATAATTCGACTGCTACCCGAGAACACACACAAACTTTTTAAAAGCTATTTAACTGATAGAATTTTTAAAGTCGTATTAAAGGACGAACTATCATCAACAAAAAAATCTCTGCAGGTGTCGCCCAAGGAAACATATTATCACTTCAGATACCTAGGAGTCCATCTAGACCGACGTCTTACGTGGTCTCGTCATATAGATCTTGAACACAAGGTTCTTCTATACAAGTGCATTATAAAGCGAATATGGGCCTACGGCATTCAACTTTGGGGCAGTGCTTGCGAGTATAATGTCCAGAAATTGTAAAGAAAACAATCCAGGCTTTTACGACAGATTGTCTGTTGTCCACGGTATATTCGTAACAAAAATATGCATAGAGATTTTACCATTCCTACAACTCATAAAGAAATTAAAAGATACGCCATCAAATACGTCGATAAGCTAACGACTCATCCCAGCATCCTAGCAGGGACCTGCTTCTGTTCGAAGGCCATCAGAGGTTAAAACGAAGTGACACATTGAGCCTCGCTCGCTACCCCCACTAACTGTGATTATGGAAAATTAACATAAATTCTAAATTTGAATACATAAAAGTTGGCACGCTGGTGCTAACTTTAATTCTTAAAACTAGTCTTAAGATTTGAATATATTATTGCAAATTTCTTAAGGAAAGATTCAATAAAAAAAGCTTTGCAAAAGCAATTGCTTAGACCAGTAAACTTGCTTGTATCCACAAAAAGGGAATTTCTCTAAATTGGTAATATTAATATTAAATTATGTTTGACTAATAAAATGTAAGCCCAAAATTTACATCGTGCTTAATAGAATAAATTCATGTAAAAATTACAAAAAAAAAAAATATTTTCAAACCGAGTTAAACCAAAATCGTGTTAAAACAGAATTAGGGGTTTTGCTTTTCAGGTACTCCATTTCGCGTCTAAAAATTATCGAGAACGGACTATAACTTTTAAAGGCCGCATTTACTAAATATGTGGACCTAGGTGCCTACGGCAGACATTTTACCGAAAATATCGGTCAATGTGTGAGTCTAGTATTGAAATTAGGTTTTTTTTGCGACAACATCCTTGTGCCCAAAACTAGGAAAAACAGTGTAAATATTATACTTTCCCTAGCCTTTATATACTTAATATAAAGATTTTTGAACTTTCGGTTGACTTTATACCGCATATATTGGTCAATATGTGAGCTATCTTAACCTTTAACTAGGGACATGACAAATTTATAACACAATAAGGGACATGACGTCTCACAGGCTACTACTTAAAAGTTAAATTTGTCATAAAATAGCATTAAGATGATTTAGAATTGTGTTGATATTTAACTATTGGAATATAATAAAATAAATTTAAATAAATTTAATCAGTATTTATTTTATTTTTTTTAAAATATGTTTATTATTAATTTGAGGTACTTTTCAGCCTTAGTTGATATGAAATCTTTATTTAGCAGTTTAATAGACCTTATATAAATAATATGGCAAATTTAACATTTATTACTTAAAATCTAATCAAGAAAGAACGAAAAAATCACAAAAGCTTCTTCTGAAGTCGAAAAATAACAATTCTGACACCTTTTCAATTTGACATAATTCATTGGCACTTTTTGCACAAGGGGTGAGAACATTGCAGACATATGGGATTGCATCTCCCTACACATGTGTACACTGTCATTTTTTGCAGTTTCGGCAGACAAATACTGCATGCCCTTCGCTTTCCTTGACTAGTTTCAGAACTTTGGATATCTTTTTCAACCATATCTTCACCCAGTACTCGCTTTATCACTAGCCGTAGCACCCTTGGTAATTGACTGCACACAACACGTCTTTGCATTTGGGGTAGCAGTAGCGAACGGGCTAACGACTTTAAAAATTCTCCTCTCTCTATAATCTTAAGCTGATACATATTGTATAATATTATATATAGGCAGTTATGCCGCTCAAGTCCACAATGCGATGGAATACCCCCATTGCCCACCTTCTCGTTCGACGGCTGCTGGAAAAAATTAAACATTTTTTATCTGCTTCGTCAACGCCTCCTTTTGTTGTGTTACAATAGAGAATAATTTCTGGCTTTTTAGAATCGTCATCAACTACTTTTCAATGATGCATTGAGGACACAAGTATCACAGCTCTATTCTTCTTAGGCACATATGAGCGAATAGTTTTTTGATTTGTAAGTCCAAACAAAGTTGACTGGAACTCTCTAGCATCTAAATATTTCACACCCTATGCCATCCTTAGCAAATAAGTGACTTGTGCGTTCGTGGCTAGATTTCAAAACAGTAAAAGACCCACAAAAGCCTTCAGCTCAGTCATATCTATGTCTTTCAGTTTAGGTTATTCTGACGAGCAAACTTTATTCTATATAAGGAGACATTTTTCGGTTTGTCCAAGTCAATATTTGTTGAAGCATTTCCATTCACCAGCCAAATGCTGGTAGGGTCTTTTGCATCCACGTATGTCAATTTCGAGGCACAACCATGGGTTATGATATTATGTTGAAGTGTGCGAACCCTAGAATTGGGAGGAGCCTTAGACTATTTATTAACATTTTTCCCGTAATCAAAAATCGACCTTCGTAATTCCGAAAAAGGCGTGGCATTACCAAAACTATTGATGCTACCTTCATCAGAACTATCAGCGCTCCTCTGATTGCTGCTATCCACTTCTGGAATATTCTCCTCTAAATCTTCATCTTAGTCACGAAATTGTAATAGATCATCGGAAACCAATAACTCGTCAATATCATCTTCACTGACAGATTGGTCTAAAGCCAGTAATAGGGCATTGAATTCCTCTTCAAATGATGGACTGTATACTCGTAATATTTTTCCCTTTGATGAACTCGTGGGCTGGAGTTGAAGTTTCTTAATATTATTATTAAATATTTGTATGACAACTAGGGACATGTAGGCTTATAGGCTACTGCCGATTTTCTAATTAGAATTACTTACCTGTTAAAAACAGACGACACAGCTGCTACCTTCCGCGGTCGTTTAAGCACTAAAACAAAAGCTACTGAGACACGGGGTCGTGGCAAGCGGGGGGAAGTGGTCAATTCTGAGAACTTGCAAAACACGCGACGCCTGTGAGACTACACGTCACTAGTTAAAGGTGAAATGAGAAACAGGAGCATCAATGTCTGGC